GTAGTAGCAGTAGTAGTAGTAGTAGTAGTAGTAGTAGTAGTAGTAGTATTAGTAGTAGTAGTAGTAGTAGTAGTAGTAGTAGTAGTAGTGAGTAGTAGTATTGAGTAGTAGTAGTGAGTAGTAGCAGTAGTAGTAGTAGTAGTAGTAGTATGATTAGTGGTAGTAGTAGTAGTAGTAGTAGTAGTGAGTAGTAGTAGTAGTGGTGGTGGTGGTGTGGTGGTGGTGGTGGTGCGTGGTGGTGGTGGTGTGGTGGTGGTGGTGGGTCGTCTGGTGGTGGTGGTGGTGGTGGTGGTGGTGGTGGTGGTGGTAGTACAAACGCTTGCTGTGCGGGGTCTACGCAGTCTAACATTTGTTGTTCAGATACGTCAGTGGTTTCGGCGCCCAAACATAAATAAATTAAAGAAAACACAACTATCGTGCAGGACTTGCTTATTGACCCTGCTTCCTTCGACCCTGTCATGTACGAGCATGCCTGCAAGGGCGCCTTCCTCATCAGGGGGGCCGAACCGTCCAACCTGTTGACGGGGGGCCACGGGGCGAGCGACAGCATCCGAATCGAGTCCCACGTAAGGATCGAAGCGGTGGCTGTCGCAAAACGCTTGGCTGGTTCGGGGCGGGGCAAACGCACGCGGGACGGGAAGCACCCGATTGCCAAATATTCGGTCAGCGAGTTGTGCACTTTGTTGGGCTTCAAATCCGTCTTCTCGTTCATCTTCTACCAAATCGTCTTGGACATTCACCAGCACTGTCCTGATGAGACGTCGTGGGGGGGCAGGTGGGCCACAGGCCGACCCCGAGGTTGCACGTGCCAGAAACGGTGCCCAAAACAGAAAGAACACGCAAACCGGGAACACGGAACAAAAACGGCCCCGGCGTGTTAAGACCATCTAAGCGCAGGACTCGATGCTGAGCGCGATGTACCTCCGTTGCGTCAACTTCCACAACGGCGTGGACGCCGCCATATCCCGCCTGAGCGCCATGCGCTTCGGCTGACGGATCAGTCAGCAGAGTAGGTCTGTGTCATTTTAGGAATCTGTCAATGGGCACTGGCTCGCCCCTGTACTCAGGCAGTAATTTGCTGGCTCTGTGCACGCAGCAATATGTGTGTGGGGCGCGTTTGCGGCGGGGCCTCGGTGCGAAAGCGATGCGTGCGGACAGATGCCAGCGGCGCCGCGGATTCGTGGCACACCTGGAGCATAAGTAGCATCAGCAGATCACCTAGTAGAAATAATGATACGACGCTGCTGTATGCGTAAGGTCAGGAGGAGGTGTAGGACAATGAGCAAACGCACGAGCATGACCTAAGTATTATAGTAGTATTTACATGAGTACAGATACGGCCACTACTGCCAGACCTGATATTTTCGAATGCGCGCGCCACAACCGTGCACGCGAGCAAGCTCACGCCATGAGATGCCGCGCGGAAAAACAAACGTTTCGGCGCGAGCAAACAGCGCAGGCCACATACTCTTAAATGTCACCCCCGCGGGGCGGGGGGGGGGGGCGAGGCGGGCAGCGCGCGCAAGAGAGCGAGAGGAGTCCGCCTTTCATTCTACCCCTCGTTTCTCTCCCCTTGCTTCTAATTTGTGCCTCGGCTCTCCTCGCCATTTCCCTTCTGGGCCGAGCGGCGACAGGTGCCCAGTCTGGGGCGGCAGCGAGTCGTGACTACGAGACCCTCGTATAGAAAATCTGTTATTTTTTCAAGACGCATAGGTGGACCCTTTTGCTTGGCTACTTGGTTGAATGTGCCGACGCGTGGGGAACTTGACCACCTACTGGGGCGCTGACTTGTCCAAATGAGCCGAACGGTCTTTTTGTGTTAGTTGAGTATCATGTTTATCATTTTTCTAAATGCCCCTGTTCGCTGGTCGCGTGGACCTTACTCCTAGGGCGCACTGCTGGACGCAGTCGCAGTGAACAGAGGTCCGGAGCCAGCGCCTCCCCGCCCCCCCACCCCTGCCGCCCGACGTCGAAACGCCAGGTAAGAAAACGCTCGCATGAACATACCCATCGGTCGTTGACATGTAGGCACTTGTGGAATCCAACGTCCCAATCTATTTTTATGCGCCTTCCTACTTCAAGGGCCCCCTTCTTCCGTCCCCCTTAGGGGGCGGGCGGAACCCAATCTATTTTCAACGCGTTCCAATTTCATGTTTTGACGTACTTCTGCCGACCGATGGGTGTACTTTCTGAGGTCTTCGCTGATTTCTTGGACTTGAACTGGGTCTCCGTGGCGGCGCTTCCTGCGCGGCCCCTCGCGCGCTCCACTCGCCAGGGAGGTGGTCCATCGCAGATCCAAAACGTCCGCGCGGAGCTACGATGGTTCAGGCTCATGCAGTTTGTTTTCTTGTTTTCTTAGACGCCGATGGCGTGTCTTCCAACGGTCACCGACTTGCTTTCGGCCGCGTCTGCACCACGGTCCTGGCCTACCTCCAGTCGGGCTGCCCCAAGACCCTCCCTGACGCCCCAAGGGGGCCGCAGGGAGGCACGCCGGGCTGGTCGATCATCGGGTCTACAGAGGGAGGCACGCCGCGCTGGTCGATCCCTCCTGCCCGTGGCACTGCACATCGCCCGCAGGTGTGGTTTGCTTCCGGGCGCCGGACCGCAACAAAGGAGTCGCCTCAATTCGGGCGTGGTCTTCTACAGAGTATTCAGAAATAGTCAGACAAAACATTCCTGGGACGCCGTTTGAATTATGTCTGGCAATGCTTGAGCGTATGTTTTGACGATTTTCCATGCGTCTCCCACGGAATCGGCCTGGAGGGGGACATGCCCGATCTAAGCGTCGCCGCGCACAGCGCCGCACGGGTGTTTGGTGCCCTGCTCGCCGGGCAGGGCCGTGCTCTCTGTTGTTATTGTTTTCTCTTCCGCTGGGGGCCGCCGCTCTGCCCCGCCCCGCCAGCACGTCCGGCTGTGCGAGGAGGTGGGGTCAATTGTTTGGACGCCCGAAATGGGTACGGAAAGACTGGGTACAATGCCCTACAGAAGTTCCTGTTCATTTTGAACAGGACTCGCTGTCGGCGCCGCCGCGGCCTGTGTACATTTGAGACAGGAGGCCGCCTGCCCAACAGCGGCCGCTGCTGGTTTGGGACAGCATTTGTTGTTGGGCATCGTACCCATGTTTTCGGTACCCATGTCGGGCGTCCACAAAGGGGCCAGGATGAGTCAGGCGATCGCAAACAGGGATCAAGGGGGCGTGGATCAGCGACGGGTCCCGTTTCCATCGGAGATCGCGGACTTCCACCGCCGAGCGAGGCGGCACCGGCCGCATTTTGGGAGGGGCACCTCCCTCGTTCCATGGATTTGGCGACCGCGCGCCAAATCCATCGATCGCTAATCCATGCTTGCGCGCCCCCGAATCAAGTCGGGCGTGTCCCTCTACAGGAGGAATATTAGAAAAACAATGATAGCATAGTCTGGGGACGATTGCTTGCATATGTTTGATCCGCTTTTGCATATTTTTTGATTCGATTTCGTCCAAAATCCGCCCCTGTAGGACGCCCGACCTAAGGCCAGGAGTTCCTTGAATACACATAGCGGGGGACGCGGCCCTGGGGCCCCCAGGCCGCGACCTCGACCACAATTCTAGGGCTAGGGGGGCTGGGCCCGCTGTGGTGTCGGCGTCGTCGACGTGGTTGTCCTCGTCCTCTTTGTCGCTATCGCCTCCGTCGTCGTCCATCCCTCTCTTCCTGTCCGTCCGTTTTTTCCTCTTATGGGTGCTGCTTTTTGGTAGTTTTCCCTTCTCTTTGCTCCTCATCGTCTTGCTGGTCCTCGTCTTCCCCGTCCTTCTGGACCTCTGCCTTCACTGCTGTTCCGCATTCCTCTCCATCCTCTCCTCCCTATCTCTCTCTCGTGTCACCTGCTTCTCCCCGACCCCTCCATTGTCGCATTGTCTTTCCTCCTATCTTCCTCCTCCCCTCTCCTCTTTCGACCTCCTCACTCTCCTGCTACTTGTCGTTCTTCCTGTTCCTCGTTCTTCCTGCTTCCTCAGCCCTCTTTCTCTTCACCTCGCCTCTCTCGACCTCCTCACTCTCCTGCTGTACGGCCGTCTTCCCCCCCACCCCCCCATCCTTCTCACTATATCCGTAAGGGCTTTGCCCTCATGCCGCCGGCCCCCCCTCTTAGAATGGGGCTTGCCAGAGCTGTGTTGGGATGTCTGGACGCTGACACGAAGCAATGTCGGGACTTCACGCGAGGGTCAATATCAGTTTACGAGGGTTTATGGCTTCGGTGGCGCGAATATGGTGTAATTTCAAAGGTTTCTGGCGTCGGGGACGCGAACACCGTGTTTTTTGCAAGGGGTTGTGGCCTTGGGGACGCGAATATTGTTTAATTTACGAGGGTGTATGGCCTGGGGGGCACACATCTTGGGTAATTGGTTTATGGCCTCGGGGACGCGACTCTTGTGTAACCTGCGAAGGTTTGTGGCCTCGGGGACGCAAATATCTCGTAATTTAGTAGGGTTTATGGCCCTGGGGACGCGAATATGATATAACTTTCGATCGTTTATGATTTCGGGGGCGCGAATACTGTATTATACCAGAGTTAACGCTAATCAGAGGATGGTTTGAACATTAGTGATATGGATGTTGAGATCGATTGTGATATCGATAGTGGAATTGATAGTGAGGACGATTGTAAGACTGATCGTGAGACCTGGGTAGTGAAGTCGATTCAATGAGATCGATGGTGAGATCGATAGTGGAATCTCTCGAGCGATCTGTAGTGAGATCGATTGTGAGATCGATAGTCAAGTCGATTTTGAGATCGACAGTGAGATCGATCGAGAGGTAGGTAGTGATATCGATGGTTAGACCGGTCGATAAGAAGATCGACTAGGAACCCAGGAACCCAGGAACCCGGGAACCCCGCCGCCCAACGAAATCGGCGGGAAACTCGGAATTGGGAACCCGGGAGCCCAGAATTGGGAACCCGGGAACCTGGAACCGGGAACCCGGGAACCCAGCCTGCCACCAAAATCGGCGGGAAATTTTCGCCAAATCTTTCAACCTCCGCGAGGACCCCTTCAGTGCAAGGACTGTTTGGGGAATCATTTATGGGGGTTCATGGCTTCAGGGAGGCGAATATTGTACAATGTATGAGGGTTTGTGGCCTCGGGGATGCAAACATTAAGTAATTTACAAAGGATTATGGCTTCGGGGACGCGAATATCGTGTACTTTACGATGGTGTATGGCCTCGGGGACGCGAATATAGTGTAATCTACCAGGGATTATGGCCTCGGGAACGCGAACCTCATGTATTTTTAACCGATCGCCACAATAGTAGAACCATCTTGCTCCTCTGTGAGAGAACGGTGCTGTGTGGCAGAGTCCAGAGGAACCTGGACTCCCTCTGTGAGAGAAGGGGTTGTCTTCTTATGCTCCATCCCTCAGCTTCCATCGCTCCCCCTCTCTTTGCGTCGCAATCTCGATTTCCTTCCCGCTCCACCATCGTCTTCGCCGTCCTACTTGTCATAATTTGCGTATCATCATCCTCTTCTGCTCCCTTCTCCTTCGGGTTGTCGTTTTGATGTTCTGCTGTTCAATCCTTCTCTTTATTGCTGCCCCTTTGCTGTCGTCTCCCGCGGCCAACTTGTGCTCGAACCACCGCGCGCGCGGGATCGCTCGTTGTTTCATTTTTCAGCAATGAGCGGAAACGCATGGGATGGCGCGAAAGGATGGTGGAGCAACAGGTGCAAAAACCGCAGTCAGTGGGGCCAAGACGGCTGGGACGGCTGGGACGGCTGGCAAGATTGGTCGCAGAGTGGCGGGTGTCAAGATTGGTCGTGGCGGCCCGATGTCGGGGCCGCCGCAGCAGCGGCGGCCAATGCTCGCCCGTCTCCCTTCGATGTGTTCGGCGTCGTCAGCCCTTATGCCCCAGGCCTCGGGAAGCCCGCCTATGAGAATTTTACGGGGGCTGCAAGGGCAAGGGATCGACCGCAGAGGCCGCAAGGGCCTGGCGCTGCCGCGGCAGCGGCGGTGGTGCAAGAGTTCGACTTTCAGTTCGTCTTGAAGTATCAAGAGCGGCTGGGGGATTCCTTTCAACAGCACGACCAGGCCTTTAAATGGCTGCGTTACCAACGAGGGAACCCAGAGGACCCGTTCAGGTCGCCTGCCGAATTGCTTGACAACGTGGAGCCCACCGTGGTCTGCGTTTGCGACCACGCTAATAAAAGGAGCGAGCTTCGGTTTCAAGGATGAGGAAGTTCCTTGGCGGCGGCAAGAAATGGTGGGGGCGCTCAGGGGCGAGGGGAAGGGGCGTTCCATAGCAGCGGGGGCAGGAGTGTTCCATAGCAGTGGGAGGCTTGTTCTGCCGTTGCGAGTCCGGAGAACGAGACGCCCCGTGGCCCCAGTTATTCCACGATGGGTTTCAAAGATGTTCTCTTTTTCCCCCCATCGGGCGCGCGTCGTGGCGGGAATCTGCGACGGAGACTAGAAGGACATCGCCAACCTGCTCCGCAGCAGCGGAGCGGCGTGGCAGTGCGTCCTCGCTCTGGCCTTCTGGCGCCCTGACATTAGGGAACTGGTGCCCCCCCCGCGCTCAATGGCCATTTTTGGCCCTGCTCAGGTTCGCGAGCGCCCTCCCGAGACGCAGCCTAAATTCGCCGGCCTGGCGGGGCCCCAGTCGCCGCTCCCCGCGGCCGCGGGGGCGAGCGCGGCGGTTCCATCGCCGTTTGATGGGCTGGGGGTGGAGGCCCCAGCGGGGCAGGTTGAGCGATAGTGGGCGCTGGCAGGCAGAGACCTACTATTGGCCTCACCTGCGCAAGGTCAACTTCAAGGCGCAGGATCGGAACAGGGTGATTCCGCACTGCCGCGCACTATTCGCCCGCGTAGAGAGCAGGGCCAGGAGGCCTGGCGCAGGCGCCAGGCAGAGGAAAAAAGGCATGGGAGAACGCGCCATGGGGGAACGCAAGGCGGTCGCGGGGAGGGGCAGGAGCAGCCTGCGCAGTGGCGGCCTCTGCAGCGGCCTCCGCAGCAGCGTAGGCAGACCGCGAAGGCGCGACTTCCGCTGCAGAAGTGTCGGAGGAGCCCTCTGCGACCCCGGGGGCAGACCGCGAGACGGATGCGACGATGAAGGCGACGAAGGAAAAGACGCAGAACAAATAAAATAAGGAGGATGCTGAGGGGGGCGAGTATAAGACAACATGAGAAGAAGGAGAAACAGAAGAGAACGGCGTCTCCGCAGCAGCGGGGGCCCGGGCAGAGCGCGCGCGAGAAGAAGGTCAAGCTGGCGCCCTTCGACCCAGAGCGCGCGGCGTCGCTGGGCCTCGCACGCCCGGCCCCGCCCGCGGTATCGGCAGCGGCAGCGGCAGCTTGCGCGGAGCGGCGCGCCAGAGGCCAGAGAGAGAGAGAGAGAGAGAGAGAGAGAGAGAGAGAGAGAGAGAGAGAGAGAGAGAGAGAGAGAGAGAGAGAGAGAGAGAGAGAGAGAGAGAGAGAGAGAGAGAGAGAGAGAGAGAGAGAGAGAGAGAGCGGGGCGGCGCGCTGCGGCGCGCGCGAGGCCCCCCTTGCGCCGAGGGGGCACGAAAGCGGCGCGACGCCCAGGTGGAGGAGGAGGAGGAGGAGGAGGAGGAGGATCCGCAGCGGAATTCTTCCTCCTCCTCTGCTGTTTGGA